AAAACATCCACGAGCCGCGGATTCGACGCGTTTCTGTGTCTGGTGCCTCTAAGCATGTGCAAGCCCGATTTGCATTTTGTATTTTCTATGCCGCAGGACTGGCCATCAAACTTCCGATTCCGATGCCTTCCGGTACACCCTTCCAAAGCGGCCGGGAACCAAGTTTGGCCAGCTCGAGCGATCAAGACACGGATGCAAAACTGCAGGTGTGAGTTCCTGTTAGACATGTAGATGGCGCATATGGCAGAAGCACTGGCCGAACTGTGAGACACGCGTTCAGTATGCCGCCCTTTTTTGGGGGATTCGCAAAGATCTCAGGTTCAAACAACCCGCGCACCTTCGGAGGTCCAAGAATTCGTTGGGATTCCAAACGAGTCCCCCGAAGCCAGGAAGAATCTTGCGGGGGCATCACCGTCTTTGCCTCCATAAGGAAATGACAACAGGCCCCAAAATCTCTTCAGTCACCAGCAACTGCCTAGACCCAGCCCAACTATTTTTGTTTTTGCAAAAGCGAAACAATGCAGCATCTAGCCTGAAAGCGTGCAGTTCACTTTTCCCCTCGCTTCAGCACACATACGACAGTTCCTCTTCAGCTTGCCGTGTGGGCATGCTCTGCACTGCACGCAGTTGCGCTTGATCTTGCCGTGCGGGCATGCGCTGCACTGCTTGCAGGCGTTCTTGATCTTGCCATGTGGGCATGCGCTGCAATGCACGCAGTTGCGCTTGATCTTGCCGTGCGGGCATGCGCTGCACTGCACGCAGGCGTTCTTGATCTTGCCATGTGGGCATGGGCTGCACTGCAAGCATCTGAATTTTACCTTGCCGTGCGGGCATCCCGTGCAGTGCAGGCAGTAATGTTTTTGCTTACCGTGCGGACATCCCGTGCACTGCAAGCAGATTCGTTTTGCCTTGCCATGCGGACAGGGTTTGCATTCCGAGCAATTGCGCTTGACTTTTCCGTGCGGGCAGGCACTGCATTGCGGGCAATTTTTAGCCCACTTGCCGTGTGGACAGCCTGTGCATTGAGAGCAGCTTCGTCTCAGCTTGCCATGGGGGCATGATGCTGAAGACTCGGGCTTGGCAATGCCAGCAAAATCTTCGGCTCCCTTTGCACACGCTGACAAGCTTGCTGCTGCTTCGGGTGGCACAGTGCTCGCACACTTGGCTTGTAGCCGAGCCCATTGCTTCTTGCAAGCGATCCTGCTTTCACTGGCGACTAGCTCCTGAAACCTTTGGAGCAGTGACTGCAAGCATTGCAGCACCGGCGCAAGGCGCAAATCTGCCAGGTCCACTCGATCCAAGCAGCAGAGCACAATTTTGCGGAGCCGGGATTGCAGGTCGGTGGCCGGCGTCGGCAGGTCGTTGGATGCGTGGGATGCCAGCAACTTACCCTTACATCCATCACCCAAACGCCGTGGCGAAGAAAGCGCAGCTACGGCTCGGCGCAGGACCATCCGCAGCTTGGCCAAGTTCTCAGCTCCGTCGGCCTCTTGCGTCTCTTGCTCCAAAGACTCCACATATGCTTCCCGGCACTCGGATGGGTAGTTCTGCCACGTTTGGCTGGCCTTCTGCATCAGCCGGACAGCCTTGTCACCGCAGGCGTCAACTGGCTTGCTCGAATCCAGCTTTTCCGGTTCTTCTGCCTGCATCATCTCTGCCTTTCTCTTCCGCCCTTTGCCCAGCAACCCCGACAGCCCTGCAACTCCCGAACTTGCCGCGACAAGCGACAGAACCGCTTTCAGGCGCTCGCAAAGTGGCTGCCCATCCAAGGACTCCAAGTACCTGGACAGCAGCGCCTCCACGGAACCGCCGTGGCTTCTTCTCACCTCTGGAAGCACCAGCCAGGATGCCACATGAAAGGCATGCTTTTCGAGCTGCGGCCGGCTCATGATTCTCCTCTGCTGCTCGTAGCGATCAAGGACCGTTGTGGCATCCTTCTCGTGAAAGCGCCGAGCATGGTGCTGCACTCGGTCACGCCATGGTGCAGGCATCGCTGCCAGCTCATCTTCAAGGCAAACGGTTGTCAAAGCCGAAGCCATGCCACGGAGCACATGTGACACAGCTGCCACGCCAGGAGGAACGGGAGCCCAGTCCCTCGATGAAATGGCTGCAGAAAGCCTGGAATGACAAAAGCAAAAAGTTGAAAGTCATTCCGAATGAGAAAGTCAACCTCAAACCCCATTTCCCACAGGCCTTGCATTGCAATTGTCGAGCAGCTGGAGTATGGACTCGACGCCAGATATCCTGCCCGGCAGTGAAAGCCTAGAAATGACAAAAGCAGGGTCGGAGCTGGGCTTCCTGCGACACAAGAATACTGGCAATGCTCCGTTCTTGACTGAATGAGAACAACACGATCAACACGTGCTGCTTTGCTGGAGCGTCATGCCTGACCGGCAGGTGGTCTTCCCCAAAGCTGGTAACGCATGATTGAGCACCTTTTACTTTACGAAATCTGCTTGTTTGTTTGTGTGTCACCTCCTCGGATCATACCGCTCTGCAAATACCGAGAGTGATTCCGAATAAGAAAGTGGGCTGGCCTCAAACCCCATTTCCCACAGGCCTGGCGCAATTCTCGAGCAGCTGACTCGACGTGCAATCTCCTGACCGAAGCCAAGCAGCTCCTTCAGGGGTTTGGGGAGGAGAAAACAAAGCTCTAAGTGTCCATGGCATAGGGTCGTGCCTTTGCGTCCCTTAGAAGGGGTAAAAGGGCTCGAGAAAAAGCATCCCGGTCTTGAACGATTTGAAGGGAAACAGGAGAGCACCAGGTTTCCACTATTTTATGACTACAAAAGGACGTCTTGGTCCAACCGGAAGCTTCATGGTGTGGGGACCACCAAAAGCCGGAGTCAGGTTTGAAGGCTTTTAGTTTAAATCGCAAGCCAAACCCCGCCCCGAATCTTGCGCGCAGGGATGTTGGTATGAGGTTTACCACTTGACGCCTAAGAGTGGCTGGTAAAATGTCATTCCCGCAAGCAAAGCATGATTTATCTTCCGACATGGAACCTGAAGGGGTCCCTAATTTCCCGCCATGTTCCTCTTTCAGGGACCCCCAAGGAGTGAAATACTAGGGTTCTTTGGCTTCACTTCAATCAGGAAATTCGCCTACAAGTCGCATTTGCCTTGCCAAAGATGATGATACAACATGTGTCACAAATACTGGGAGCCTCCAAATGCGTGGGGTTGATTCTGGGTTTGCAGCTGAGCGCACCAGGTGGCTTCCCAACGTTTGGACAGAATTGTGAGGAAAAACTCTGAGCCGGCATCTCGCAGAACTCCACCCCTTGGATTCCAATGTCAAGAGCTCAAAAATCTCTGGCGTGTCGTCTCACCCTCCCTCTTGGGTCATTTCGGACCATTTCTGAGGTCGAGGCCACTGGGAGGGCATGCACTTGAAGCGGTCTATGTGCTGAACGCGCTTCAGGGTAACTTTTCCCGTTTATGGAAATATCTCACTCTTTTAGTGGTTTCCCCCAACGCTCATCCCGTGTAGAGGACCTTTTGATCAACCCCCGTTTCTCAAAGGATGCCAAGCCCATCGAGGCTGAAACTCAGCGCTCAAGGACATCTCAATAGGGTCACTCGAAAACCATGGTGCACATGAATAGGATACCCTGTTTCCAACAATCTTCAAGTGGGAAGGCCCATTGTCCACTTCACAATGTTGGAACAAGGCATGCCGTTCATCGCTGTTGGCTGTATGCGCTCAGGTCCAAAGCTATTCCGGCCGTCCCCGCGAAAGGGGCCCTCAAGCCGCGACCATCAAGCCTTGTGGACCAACTATCTGCGTGCCCTCTTTTGCAGAGCGTTGTGCTTGTTTGAGGGCCTGAAAGATTTGCTCCTTTCACAACAGAACGCAGGAAGCTAGGTTTTTGCCAAACGTCCCAGCTGACCGCCTCCCAGCTTCAGGTTGATCCTGGGCGAACAGAAAGGCGGTCAATCAGAGGCCCATTACGCGAAAAGCAACCCCAGGCACATGTTCAAATCGGCTTTTCGGCACAACCAGGATCGGCCGACTGCCTGAACATGTTCAAACATGTTTACACCAACAAACTGCAAAAACCCGCTTTGGGATGTCCCTTCATTCCTTAAAAACGGGGCCGAATCCGATCTGCTTAGTCTGCCAATCGCCCTGCCCTCAGGTGTCCATCTAGATGTCAACTGGTACCAGACAGGAGATTCGACGAAAACGGTGATGCCAACGCCCTGTTCATTTCTCAGTGAATCACCCGGGACAATACTTGAAGGCGAGCCTTCTGAAACCCCAGCGACTCGCTTGGCTTGATTTGTGACTTATTTTGCGTTTTCATCATTTCTTCCCCAAAGACTGCCTTCCGGTACCTTAGACCGGGCCCTGCACGAGAGGCTCGGTTTCCGCAGCTCCCAGGCCTGGCGCCATGGAAAAGCTGGACGCTGGTCTCGACGTCAGACGGATGCCCCGACGTCACGCGCGTGATATATTGGTATGAGCCGAACCACGAAAGGCCTAAGAGTGGTCAGCAAAGTCTCGCTAAAAAAGACAAGGTTCTCATTTACGAGCCAAACATAGTGTCTTCTGACACGGCTCGCCTGAAGGATTCTCTGGGTAAAGTGTCATTCCGGTATTCAACGATTTCAACGAGAGCCCAGAAAATCCATTCGATGCGCTTCTGTGTCTGGTGCCTCTAAGATGTGCAATCCTGCCGGCTCAAGTTCACATTGGAAAAGCCAACTACCGAACTTGACTTTGCATTTTGTAAGTTTTATACCCCAAAGACTGGCTACCAAACTTCCGCTACCTTCCGGTACACCCTTCCAAAGAGACCGGGAACCAAGTTTGGCCAGATGCAAAACTGAAGGTTTCAATTCCAATTAAACATGTAGATGGAGACCTGGACTGGGGACGCTTTTATGGCAAAAGCACTGGCCGAATTGTGAGACACTCTTTCAGTACACCGCCCTTTTTAGGGGGATTCGAAACGATCTCAGGTTCAAACCGTTCCTTGGGGCTCATGCTAGCGCAAGCCCAAACGAGTCCCCCGAAGCCAGGAAGAATCTTGCGGGGGCATCACCGTCTTTGCCTCCAAAAAGAAATGACAACAATTCTCTTCAGTCACCAGCAACTGGATCGCCTAGACCCAGCCTAACCAATTATTTTGCAACAGCGAAACAATGGAACACCAAATTGCGTGCAGTTCACTTTTCCCCTCGCTTCAGCACACATGCGACAGCTCCTCTTCAGCTTGCCGTGTGGGCATGGGCTGCACTGCACGCAGTTGCGCTTGATCTTGCCGTGCGGGCATGGGCTGCACTGCAAGCATCTGATTTTTACCTTGCCGTGCGGGCATCCCGTGCACTGCAGGCAGTGGCGCCTGACTTTTCCGTGCGGGCATGCGCTGCATTCTAAACAGTTTTGCTTTAGCCTGTCGTGCGGGCATGCACTGCACTGCACGCAGTTGCGCTTCACTTTTCCGTGCGGGCAAACACTGCATTGCGGACAATTGTAAGCCCACTTGCCATGTGGACAGCCTGCGCATTGAGAGCAGCTTCGTCTCAGCTTGCCATGGGGGCATGATGCTGAAGACTCCGGCTCAACAATGCCAGCACCATCTTCGGCTCCCTTTGCACATGCTGACAAGCTTGCTGCTGCTTCGGTTGGCACAGTGCTCGCAAACCTGGCTTGTAGCCGAGCCCATTGCTTCTTGCAAGCGATCCTGCTTTCACCGGTGACAAGCTCCTGAAATGTTTGGAGCCGTGCCTGCAAGCATTGCTGCACCGGCGCAAGGCGCAAATCTGCCAGGTCCACTCGATCCAGGCAGCGGAGCACGATTTTGCGGAGCCGGGATTGCAGGTTGGTGGCCAGCGTCGCCTGGTCGTTGGGCGCGGTAGATGCCGGCATCTTGCCCTCGCATCCATCACCCAAACGCCGTGGCGGGGAAAGCGCAGCTACGGCTCGGCGCAGGACCATCCGCAGCTTGGCCCAGTTCTTAGCTCCGTCGACCTCTTGCATCTCTTGCTCTAGAGAATCCACGTAAACTTCCGGACACTCGGATGGGTAGTTCTGCCACGTTTGGCTGGCCTTCTGCATCAGCCGCACAGCCTTCTCACTGCACGCATCAACTGGCTTGGCGGAGTCTGGCTTTTCTGGCTCTTCTGCTCGCATCATCTCCGCCCTTCTCTTCTGCCCTTTGCCTGGCAACCCTGAGAGCCCAGCAACTCCCAAACTTGCAGCTTCAGGTGGCAGGGTGCTCGCGCACTTGCTTGTAGCCGAGCCCATTGCTTCTCGCAAGCGATCCTGCTTTCACTGGCAACCAGCTCCTGAAACGTTTGGAGCCGTGCGTGCCTGCAGGCATTGCTGCACCGGCGCAAGGCGCAAATCTGCCAGGTCCACTCGATCCAGGCAGCGGAGCACGATTTTGCGAAGTCGGGATTGCAGGTTGGTGGCCAGCGTCGCCTGGTCGTTGGGCGCGGTAGATGCCGGCATCTTGCCCTCGCATCCATCACCCAAACGCCGTGGTGGGGAAAGCGCAGCTACGGCTCGGCGCAGGACCATCCGCAGCTTGGCCCAGTTCTTAGCTCCGTCGACCTCTTGCATCTCTTGCTCTAGAGAATCCACGTAAACTTCCGGACACTCGGATGGGTAGTTCTGCGCACAGCCTTTTCACCGCAGGCATCAACTGGCTTGCTGGAATCCGGCTTTTCTGGCTCGTCTGCCTGCATCAACTCCACCCTTCTCTTCTGCCCTTTGCCCAGCAACCCCGAGAGCCCTGCAACTCCCGAGCTTGCCGCGACAAGCGACAGAACCGCTTTCAGGCGCTCGCAAAGTGGCTGCCCATCCAAGGACTCCAAGTACCTGGACAGCAGTGCCTCCACGGAATCGCCGTGGCTTCTTCTCACCTCTGGAAGCACCAGCCAGGATGCCACATGAAAGGCATGCTTTTCGAGCTGCGGCCGGCTCATGATTCTCCTCTGCAGCTCGTAGCGATTTAGGACCGTTGTGGCATCCTTCTCGTGAAAGCGCCGAGCATGGTGCTGCACTCGGTCACGCCATGGTGCAGGCATCGCTGCCAGCTCATCTTCAAGGCAAACGGTTGTCAAAGCCGAAGCCATGCCACGGAGCACATGTGACACAACGACCACGCAAGAAGGAACGGGAGCCCAGTCCCTCGATGCAATGGCTGCAGAAAGCCTGGAATGACAAAAGCAAAAAGTTGAAAGTCATTCCGAATGAGAAAGTCAACCTCAAACCCAATTTCCCACAGGCCTGGCATCGCAATTGTCGAGCAGCTGGACTATGGACTCGACGCCAGATATCCTGCCCGGCAGTGAAAGCCTAGAAATGACAAAAGCAGGGTCGGAGCTGGGCTTCCTGCGACAAAAGAATACTGGCAATGCTCCGTTCTTGACTGAATGAGAACAAGACGATCAACACGTGCTGCTTTGCTGGAGCGTCATGCCTGACTGGCAAGTGGTCTGCCCCAAAGCTGGTAACGCATGATTGAGCACCTTTTACTTTACGAAATCTGCTTGTTTGTTTGTGTTTCACCTCCTCGGATCATACCGCTGTCATAGGCCTGCAAATACCGAGAGTGATTCCGAAATATGAAAGTGGGCTGGCCTCAAACCCCATTTCCCACAGGCCTGGCGCAATTCTCGAGCAGCTGACTCGACGTGCAATCTCCTGACCGAAGGCAAGCAGCTCCTTCAGGGGTTTGGGGAGGAGAAAACAAAGCTCTAAATGTCCATGGCATAGGGTCGTGCCTTTGCGTCCCTTAGAAGGGGTAAAAGGGCTCGAGAAAAAGCATCACGGTATTGAACGATTTGAAGGGAAACAGGAGAGCACCAGGTTTCCACTATTTTATAACTACAAATGGACGTCTTGGTCCAACCGGAAGCTTCATGGTGTGGGGACCACCAAAAGCCGGAGTCAGGTTTGAAGGCTTCCAGTCCAAATCGCAAGCCAAACCCCGCCCCGAATCTTGCGCGCAGGGATGTTGGTATGAGGTTTACCACTTGACGCCTAAGAGTGGCTGGTAAAATGTCATTCCCGCAAGCAAAGCATGATTTATCTTCCGACATGGAACCTGAAGGGGTCCCTGATTTCCCGCCATGTTCCTCTTTCAGGCACCCCCAAGGAGTGAAATACTAGGGTTCTTTGGCTTCACTTCAATCAGGAAATTCGCCTGCAAGTCGCATTTGCCTTGCCAAAGATGATGATAGAACATGTGTCATAAATACTGGGAGCCTCCAAATGCGTGGGGTTGATTCTGGGTTTGCCGCTGAGCGCACCAGGTGGCTTCCCAACGTTTGGACAGAATTGTGAGGAAAAACTCTGAGCCGGCATCTCGCCGAACTCCACCCCTTGGATTCCAATGTCAAGAGCTCAAAAATCTCTGGCGTGTCGTCTCACCCTCCCTCTTGGGTCATTTCGGACCATTTCTGAGGTCGAGGCCACTGGGAGGGCATGCACTTGAAGCGGTCTATGTGCTGAACGCGCTTCAGGGTAACTTTTCCCGTTTATGGAAATATCTCACTCTTTTAGTGGTTTCCCCCAACGCTCATCCCGTGTAGAGGACCTTTTGATCAACCCCCGTTTCTCAAAGGATGCCAAGCCCATCGAGGCTGAAACTCAGCGCTCAAGGACATCTCAATAGGGTCACTCGAAAACCATGGTGCACATGAATAGGATACCCTGTTTCCAACAATCTTCAAGTGGGAAGGCCCATTGTCCACTTCACAATGTTGGAACAAGGCATGCCGTTCATCGCTGTTGGCTGTATGCGCTCAGGTCCAAAGCTATTCCGGCCGTCCCCGCGAAAGGGGCCCTCAAGCCGCGACCATCAAGCCTTGTGGACCAACTATCTGCGTGCCCTCTTTTGCAGAGCGTTGTGCTTGTTTGAGGGCCTGAAAGATTTGCTCCTTTCACAACAGAACGCAGGAAGCTAGGTTTTTGCCAAACGTCCCAGCTGACCGCCTCCCAGCTTCAGGTTGATCCTGGGCGAACAGAAAGGCGGTCAATCAGAGGCCCATTACGCGAAAAGCAACCCCAGGCACATGTTCAAATCGGCTTTTCGGCATGCACAACCAGGATCGGCCGACTGCCTGAACATGTTCAAACATGTTTACACCAACAAACTGCAAAAACACGCTTTGGGATGTCCCTTCATTCCTTAAAAACGGGGCCGAATCCGATCTGCTTAGTCTGCCAATCGCCCTGCCCTCAGGTGTCCATCTAGATGTCAACTGGTACCAGACAGGAGATTCGACGAAAACGGTGATGCCAACGCCCTGTTCATTTCTCAGTGAATCACCCGGGACAATACTTGAAGGCGAGCCTTCTGAAACTCCAGCGACTCGCTTGGCTTGATTTGTGACTTCTTTTGCGTTTTCATCATAAGTATACCCCAAAGACTGCCTTCCGGTACCTTAGACGGGGCCCTGCCTCACGAGAGGCGCGGTTTCCGCAGCTCCCAGGCCTGGCGCCATGGAAAAGCTGGACGCTGGTCTCGACGTCAGACGGATGCCCCGACGTCACGCGCGTGATATATCGGTATGAGCCGAACCACGAAAGGCCTAAGAGTGGTCAGCAAAGTCTCGCTAAAAAAGACAAGGTTCTCATTTACGAGCCAAACATAGTGTCTTCTGACACGGCTCGCCTGAAGGATTCTCTGGGTAAAGTGTCATTCCGGTATTCAACGATTTCAACGAGAGCCCAGAAAATCCATTCGATGCGCTTCTGTGTCTGGTGCCTCTAAGATGTGCAATCCTGCCGGCTCAAGTTCACATTGGAAAAGCCAACTACCGAACTTGACTTTTGCATTTTGTAAGTTTTATACCCCAAAGACTGGCTACCAAACTTCCGCTACCTTCCGGTACACCCTTCCAAAGAGACCGGGAACCAAGTTTGGCCAGATGCAAAACTGAAGGTTTCAATTCCAATTAAACATGTAGATGGAGACCTGGACTGGGGACGCTTTTATGGCAAAAGCACTGGCCGAATTGTGAGACACTCTTTCAGTACACCGCCCTTTTTAGGGGGATTCGAAACGATCTCAGGTTCAAACCGTTCCTTGGGGCTCATGCTAGCGCTGGGGCTCATGCTAGCGCAAGCCCAAACGAGTCCCCCGAAGCCAGAAGAATCTTGCAGCGGCACCATCTTTGCCTCCAAAAAGAAATGACAACAATTCTCTTCAGTCACCAGCAACTGGATCGCCTAGACCCAGCCTAACCAATTATTTTGCAACAGCGAAACAATGGAACACCAAGACTAATTGCGTGCAGTTCACTTTTCCCCTCGCTTCAGCACACATGCGACAGCTCCCCTTCAGCTTGCCGTGTGGGCATGGGCTGCACTGCACGCAGTTGCGCTTGATCTTGCCGTGCGGGCATGGGCTGCACTGCAAGCATCTGATTTTTGCCTTGCCGTGCGGGCATCCCGTGCACTGCAGGCAGTGGCGCCTGACTTTTCCGTGCGGGCATGCGCTGCATTCTAAACAGTTTTGCTTTAGCCTGTCGTGCGGGCATGCACTGCACTGCACGCAGTTGCGCTTCACTTTTCCGTGCGGGCAAACACTGCATTGCGGACAATTGTAAGCCCACTTGCCATGTGGACAGCCTGTGCATTGAGAGCAGCTTCGTCTCAGCTTGCCATGGGGGCATGATGCTGAAGACTCCGGCTCAACAATGCCAGCACCATCTTCGGCTCCCTTTGCACATGCTGACAAGCTTGCTGCTGCTTCGGTTGGCACAGTGCTCGCAAACCTGGCTTGTAGCCGAGCCCATTGCTTCTTGCAAGCGATCCTGCTTTCACCGGTGACAAGCTCCTGAAATGTTTGGAGCCGTGCCTGCAAGCATTGCTGCACCGGCGCAAGGCGCAAATCTGCCAGGTCCACTCGATCCAGGCAGCGGAGCACGATTTTGCGGAGCCGGGATTGCAGGTTGGTGGCCAGCGTCGCCTGGTCGTTGGGCGCGGTAGATGCCGGCATCTTGCCCTCACATCCATCACCCAAACGCCGTGGCGGGGAAAGCGCAGCTACGGCTCGGCGCAGGACCATCCGCAGCTTGGCCGAGTTCTCAGCTCCGTCGGCCTCTTGCATCTCTTGCTCCAAAGACTCCACATATGCTTCCCGGCACTCGGACGGGTGGTTCTGCCACGTTTGGCTGGCCTTCTGCATCAGCCGCACAGCCTTCTCACTGCACGCATCAACTGGCTTGGCGGAGTCTGGCTTTTCTGGCTCTTCTGCTCGCATCATCTCCGCCCTTCTCTTCTGCCCTTTGCCTGGCAACCCTGAGAGCCCAGCAACTCCCAAACTTGCAGCTTCAGGTGGCAGGGTGCTCGCGCACTTGGCTTGTAGCCGAGCCCATTGCTTCTTGCAAGCGATCCTGCTTTCACTGGCGACCAGCTCCTGAAACGTTTGGAGCCGTGCCTGCAGGCATTGCTGCACCGGCGCAAGGCGCAAATCTGCCAGGTCCACTCGATCCAGGCAGCGGAGCACGATTTTGCGAAGTCGGGATTGCAGTTTGGTGGCCAACGACTGCTCGTTGGATGCGGTAGATGCCGGCATCTTGCCCTCGCATCCATCACCCAAACGCCGTGGTGGGGAAAGCGCAGCTACGGCTCGGCGCAGGACCATCCGCAGCTTGGCCCAGTTCTTAGCTCCGTCGACCTCTTGCATCTCTTGCTCTAGAGAATCCACGTAAACTTCCGGACACTCGGATGGGTAGTTCTGCCACGTTTGGCTGGCCTTCTGCATCAGGCGCACAGCCTTTTCACCGCAGGCATCAACTGGCTTGCTGGAATCCGGCTTTTCTGGCTCTTCTGCTCGCATCATCTCCGCCTTTCTCTTCTGCCCTTTGCCCAGCAACCCCGAGAGCCCTGCAACTCCCGAGCTTGCCGCGACAAGCGACAGAACCGCTTTCAGGCGCTCGCAAAGTGGCTGCCCATCCAAGGACTCCAAGTACCTGGACAGCAGTGCCTCCACGGAATCGCCGTGGCTTCTTCTCACCTCTGGAAGCACCAGCCAGGATGCCACATGAAAGGCATGCTTTTCGAGTTGCGGCCGGCTCATGATTCTCCTCTGCAGCTCGTAGCGATTTAGGACCGTTGTGGCATCCTTCTCGTGAAAGCGCCGAGCATGGTGCTGCACTCGGTCACGCCATGGTGCAGGCATCGCTGCCAGCTCATCTTCAAGGCAAACGGTTGTCAAAGCCGAAGCCATGCCACGGAGCACATGTGACACAACGACCACGCAAGAAGGAACGGGAGCCCAGTCCCTGAATGCAATGGCTGCAGAAAGCCTGGAAATGACAAAAGCGGAAAGTGCTTGGGGTCGGTAAAACATGATTGAGAGCCTTTTGCTTGACGACATCTGCTGAATGCTAATAATGCCAAACGGTATATGCAATTGATGTGTTTTGGGTTTGAAAGTGATTCTGAAATGTGAAAGTGGCAACCTCCAACCCGATGTCCCACAGGCCTGGCAGTATCGCAATTGTTGAGCAGCTGGACTATGGACTCGACGCCAGATCTCCTGCCCGGCGGCAAAACACGCGTAGCAGGGTTTGAGCCTGGAAAACAAGCTCTAAGTGTCCATGGCACCTTTGCGTCCCCTCTTAAAAGGGGTAAACGGGCTCAAGAAAATGCATCCCGGTATTTTGAACGATCACTTGACGCCTAAGAGTGGCTGGTAAGCTGTCATTCCCGCAAGTAAAACATGATTTATCTTCTGACATGGAACCTGAAAGGGTCCCGGATTTGGCCCACTTTCCTCTTTCAGAGATCCCCAAGGAGGGAAATGGGCCATGGGGCTGGGAAGTGGTTTCCCTCTACAAGTCTGATGATAGAACAATGTGTCCTAAGGGGAGCCTCCAAATGCGTGGTTTATTCTTGGTTTCCAGCTGAGCGCCATCCGAAAGAGGATCGCCGGGTGGGCTCCCAATGTTTGGACAAAGTTGCTATCGCAGAACTCATGACAAGCACCTCCACCCCTTGCAAAAAGTCCGCTTTCATTCCAGGGATGTCAAGTCAAAGGCTCAAAAAAACTTCTGCCCTCAGCCCTCTTGGGAATTTTGGAATGTTCTGAGGCCTTGCTTGGGGTCTGGGAAGTCCGTCACATGTCCCCACCGATATGCAGAGACCAAACGGGCTTGGCTTCGGGTTGGGGGGCCTTGTGCACGAGGCGAAGTGTGAGGGAGCAGAGAGAATGAGCCCTTGAAGGTTGAAACTCAGCGCTCAGACCGTCACGGAAAGAATGGTTCAAAAGGGTACGATACTCTCTTTCCAACAATCTTCAAAGTGGACAACCATCTTGAAAGGCCCCTGGTCCATTTCCAAGTGTTGGAACAGGGTATGTTGTTAATCGCTGTTGGTATGACCCCCAGAGCAGAGCCGGATGCTCTCAGGTACATAGGTTTCTTTTTTGGAGCCCTCAAGCCGCGACCATGAAGCCTTGTGGACCAACCGCTATCTGTTTTACCCTCTTTTGTGCTTGTTCGCGGGCCTGAAAGATTTGCTCCTTTCGCAACAGAACGCGAGAAGCTAGGCCCCAGCTTCCGACTTGCACCCGAGAGGCTCCCAAACGCTTGAGACCGGCAAACTTCCCGGCCTTCCGGGCGCCAGCCGGCCAGATCTCGGACACGTAGCCAGCAACGGAATCAGACCCTTCAGGTTAATCCTGGGCGAAAACAAAGGCCCACTACCAGAAAAGCAACAGGCAGAAAGCGGCCAAGCATTGTTTGATCATGTTCAAAAAAGCTTTTGGGCCGACTTGAACATGTTTTAACATGTTTAAACATGTTTAAACCACCTCCCTTCATTTTCCTGCACAACAAGGCCAACCACCCTGCCCTCAAAGGGCTCCCGAGACAATATTTGAGTCGAACAGTAACAAGGCGAGTCTCTTCAGGTATCAGCGAGCGATATCCAACAGACGAATGCAAAACTGACGATGTAATTTCCTGTTAAACATGTACATGGAGACCGGGACTGGGGACGCACATATGCTAGTGTTACCGCCCTCCTCCCTTTGATCCAAACAATCTCAGCTTCGAACCCACGTTGACCCACGCGCCGTTCCCTGGGGCTCATGCCAGCGCAAGTCCCTGGACACGCCCAGCCCGCACACCTCCGTCGCCAACGACAAGTCCCCCGAAGCCAAGAAGAATCCTTCAGAACCGCGCTGGCCTGCACTTGCGGGGGTCTACTGTGCGATGCAACACTCAGCAGTAGCTTCGCTAAGCCTAAATGCCCCATTTGGACCTCATCCCTACTTTCACTTTGTCCGAATCCCTGAAACACTTGGCTGGAAGCGGCCATTTCATCAATCTGTCTTGTTCCCGTTTGATCGGGAATTGCGTCTGTCCTGTTTTTGGAATGCAGTTGGAGCACCTCCCCTGAAAGTTCCTTTAAAGACACAATACAAACATACATCAGCTACGTTGTTGGGAGGTCCCCTCAGCCCCACCTCAAGCTCAGCACTGCGGAGCTTTTGTCTGCGCCTCACCCGGGCGCCTCCCCCTGGGCTTCCTGGCCGATCTGCGCCAGACTCAGCGTCTGCAGCTGCGCCAGGCCCCGGAGGCCCTCCGCCAAGCCTGCGGCGCCGGCATCGCCTCGGAAAAACGGGTCGGGTCTGTCCTATGGGAAGCGGCCTCTTCATCACTGAGGTCTGGATGGTGCCAGGGCCCTGGCGGAGGGCCTTCAGGGCCTGGCGCAGCTGCAGCTGAAGTTCGGCCGGAAGTCCTGGGGGACGATGTGCCTGGGAGGCACAGGCAAAAGCTCCGCGCTGCTGGGCTTGGGGTGGGGCTTAGCAGGGGACCTCGAAAACAAAGACACATTGGAGCTTTGAGGGACCGCGGAGTTCCAACTGAGCATCCAAATACAAAGTCGCTTCCAGACAAGCATGGCAGGGACTTGCACATAGCGTGCCTGGCGACCTTACGAACCGTGTCAACAGCCAAGGGGTGCAAATTTGTGTTGGGATTGTTTTTTGCTTTCTTTTTGTTTTTGACTCCTATTTTTGTGTGTTTTCGTTTTTCGTCTTGGCCAGCAAAATGTCCAATTTTACAGCATTGTCTCACGAAATTTACGTGTTTTTGCACTAGCCTGTCAACATCCCCAGCATCGTTTCAGCGCGTCCTGCCAACGTCCCAAGGTAAAAGCTGGGGATGTCCCCCATTCCATGATGTTCCAATAGGGGTGCAATTAAATCAAAAAAAAAAAAAAAAAACTATCGGGTTGGGATGATGTCCCCCATGATGTTCGAAGAAGTGATGATTCAATTAGGGGTGCCATGATTCAAGAAAGGGTGCGATATAATATACAAAGCAGTGTGGGGGTTTGGGCTGCCCTATGATGTTGAAAGAAGTGCATACATACAGACATAACATACATAGATTACATAGATTACATAGATTCATACATGCATACATACAAAAACAACGGAATGGAACTGGTGATGCTGAGGATGCTGGAAGCCAAAGCCAAAAAACAATGAAAGGGTGCAAAAGCCAAAAAGTCGCCGGAGAGGAACTAGTAAAAGCAGAGGATGCAAAAAGCCAAAGCCACCAAAAAGCCGCACAAACCAACGAAAAGCCGCAAAAGCCAAACCGCCACCTGCCGGAGAGGAACTGGGAATGCAGAGGATGCGAAAAGCCAAAGCCAAAAAGCCACCAAAAGCCGCAAGCCAATCCCCAACACAAACAGAAAAAAAAGACCCCTCCATAGCCAAGTGAGGCCGAATTTGCAAACAGGCTGCTTGAGGTATGGCCATGGCACAACCCGCGCAGTCAATCCCATGGCCAGCCTTTGGTTGTGGTAGGCATGTGTAGGGCCCATGTCTGTGACAAGGAAATCCCCTAAGTGATAAGGACAAAGTAGCCTGGGATGGGTCGCTTTTGAGAAGAAAGCGTGATAGTTTATGACATTGTCACATCCACATTCTTGGGCTTATAACTTCACAGCCCTTTGGCATGGTGCAAAGGACTTTGCCAAAAATGAACAGGGCCCAAAACACACAAAAAAACTTGCCCATGGTTGCAACGAACTTTCCTGCTAAAAATGAACGGGGCCCAAAAAACCAACAAAAAAAAACTTGCCCATGGTTGCAAAGAACTTTCCTGCTCAAAGTGAACGGGGCCCAAAAAAAGAGGAAAAAAACATGCCCATGGTTGCAAAGAACTTTCCTGCTAAAAATGAACGGGGCCCAAAAAAACAAACTTGCCCATGGTTGCAAAGAACTTTTAAAAAACAAAAAACAGGCCCAACAGGCCCAAAAAAGAAGAAACAAAACTTGCCCAAGAGCAGTGAAGAGACCCACGGCCGCACCCCCGGCCGCACCCCCGGCCGCACCCCGGCTTCCCCGCACTCCGAGCTGCCTCCCGCCCGCGCTCGCCGCGGCCGCGACGGCCGCAGGTTTTGGGCCGGGCTCACGGCGCCGATGTCTATGGGAAAAGCCATGGGGTGGAAGACACTGGGGATCAAAGTTTTGCGAGCCTCAAAATTGAACATGAGAAACATGAGGTTTTCATGATGACCAGCAATTTCAGGCTGCGTCTTGAACTTTCGCGTGTGGGGGAATAGACATGAAAAACTCGAGCAGAAGGATACACGAAAGGTAGGAGAGTAGAGGGCGAAACTCATAGCTTTAGCCAGTCATGGGCTGGTTTGAGTGTAAAGCAGAAAGCTCCAGGAAGGAGCCAACAGGGTCTAATGCAAGTTACACATGGAATTGAAGCAGGGTGGAGTTGGGGAGGAAACCAAGGTTGAGAACAAAATGCAAAAAACTTTCCAAATTCTATCAGTCACGAACACGCCACCATCTCGATAATTTGGAAGCATGCAAGAAAATTGCTTACGAGACCCGAAAACAGAAATGTGCTCGAAAGACAGAAACTAAACATGTCGAGCCTTTGTATTGAGGCAAAATGTTGGTAGGACGTATGGAGAGCAAACTTGAAAATTGTAAGGTTCCCGTTCGAGCCTCTGGAGGCGGAGCCGGACGACGTCGAAATGGGCGAGGAAGAAAGCGAGGCGGAGGCATCCTTTGTTTATGTTTAAGATGGAGTTTGAAATTGAGGCCGTCAGGATTCTCCGTTTCTAATGGTCATTTTGAGGTTCACCCAACCCAAGCACTTTAATCCCTTCTATTTCCAGCTTTCATACTTCCTGTCAACAAGTTGGCTCAGCACAAAGGGAAATTCTCGCAAAACATGTGTTTGTTGT